AGCAAATGCCTTTACCAGCTAAGCCATCTTGTCAACCTTTGCTAAATATTTTGTGGAAACATATATCCAACCATACAAGATCATGAAAGTCATGATCCTTTTACTGTTATACTGTGAGCACAATGAACCTTTCTTTAAATTGAAGATTCTACCATGAAGTTCCATATGTTCCAGAAGAGGAAATTCTAGTTAAGAGTTAATATCATATCACATGACATCCAGGACTCATGTCATCCACAGAGTCATGTAAATTATAAACTAGGTTTTATAGAGACTGCCATGGTTTGCTTTCTGTTGCTATGATAAAACAATGGCTGGGTATTGAAGAGATGTCCCAAAGGTTAGGAGCATCCATAGGATCCCTGTTTGATTTCTGACTCTGTATCAGTATCTCCAGTTCTAGAGGATCTGATGCCCTCTTCTGGCCTTTGAAAGCACAGCTATACAAGTAATATACAACATACATGCAGGCAAAACAGTTATATCCATGAAATATTTTTTAATCTTAAAAATAAAACACTGGCCAAAACCTGTTTTGGGTGAAAAGGTTTATTTGGCTTACATGTTAAAGCCAGTCATTGAAGGAAGCTGAGGCAGGAACTCAGGCAGAGACCATGGAAGATTGCTGTTGCACTGGCTTGCTCTCCTGGCTTGCTTAGCTAGCTTCCTTTGGTAGTCCAGGCCCACCTGCCCAGGGATAGCACGACCCTTGGTGGGCTGGGCTACATCAATTAGCAAGAAAGAAAATGCCTTACAGACTTGTCCATGGACCAATCTGATCAATGACATCCCCCAGTTGAGACTCCCTCAGGTAACTCTGGGCTGTGTCAAGTTGACAGCTGAAGGTGACTAGGACAGAGACTGTTGGTCCATGTCATCATATCTTGTGCCGCAGACCCAGTGATCTTACTTGGAGATGCAGATTCCTGCAATCTTACAGCTTCACCACGAGAAGATCTTTGCAGGCTTTCCCTTATTGTGAAATCCCTCCCAGAATGTGAAGTTGCCATAGTTCTTGGTGGGGAGCAGGGTGGAAGGGAAAGGACCTTCAGGATGAGCAGCTACATGCCATGAGCTGTGCTCTCTTGACGAGTCAGACATGCATCCAAACAACTGTAAGCAGGTTGTTGAATACAACCTGTTGTTTGCCTACCCCAAAGTGCCCCCTCACTTACACTATGTATGGAAGAGAATGTATTCAAGTGAAGAAGCCTGCAAGACTAAAGAAAAACTGACATCTCCTTTGCTGTTTCTGCTTTCTAGTATGAAGAGAAATTTATACAAACCAACAAGGACTTAGAGAAGTTAAGAAGTTAAGTAAGCTCAAGTACCTGAAGACCCTAGACAGGGGTGTCTTCCAGATGGGTTAGACCCCAGGTCATGAGGATGTGTTTACAGGGTGGTTCAAGGGATGCCAGAGAGAAGTGGGATGTCAGTAGGAAAAACATAAAGGAGGAGGGTTCTTTGGGCAGATTTCAGGCTTACTTAATGTTAAAAAGGGCTAGGCCTCTGAGTATTTGCGAATGACCCACTGCCTCTTGCTATGATTAGAAGACCACACAAAGATCCTGACATAGAAATTGTTCTCTGGACCAACCTTGCTATCCGTTGATCACCTTGTTGCATTCTCTCCCAGTTTCCTTAAAAATAGCTATGAGTAGGAGTCAACACTAAGAAACAGAAATTCCCTGGCATATGGTTAGATGGGTAACAAAGACAGAAATGAATTAGTGAGCTACTAACCAAGGGCTGGGGAGGGAGGAACTATGGG